GGTCGCTGGTGGTTGACTGAAAGTTAAATACAGGTTTTGTTTGGTTTTCATCTGTGTCAGAACCATTAAATCACAGGCAGAGGTAGGCAACGTAAGCACATCTTACTCTGGAATTGGGAAGGGGTTACCTTCAGTTGTTTCAAATTTGGTAACAGATTCTTTGGGGCGGGAATTGCTCACCTCTGTGTGTATGCGAGGGGTGATAAATAGGCACCAGTTTTGAGTTCATAAACAGGTGAAATATATCATTAGCTTGATTAAAGTGGGCACAAAATGATTATTTTAAAAAAAATTATAAAACCTAACTCAGCAAGTTGTCTCTTTAAATATTCTATTAGTTCTTCAGCTGACATTCCATGGTTGTGCTTAAATTCTAAACAACAGAGGTCAGCCTGACTGCCTTGTCCAAACACGGAGGTGATACATGTAACCAGATCACAAATAGTATTGTATAGCTAAAAGTCTTCTAAATCCAATTAGAACTGTTAACTAAGGATTGGTTTTTTCCTAATCTGTTCTTGAATCGTGTGGCTTACATGCTTCTCACTGAACGTCCAAACCATTAGCTTAAAAGGGTTTGGAATTGCTATAGCTGCAAGCTGGAGGCAAACCCTTTTTAAGTGGTTTCATTATACCCTGTTTGCTTCACCCGCAAAGCAAAAGGGAGGTGGCTGTTGTAAAAACCCAGTAGGGTAAGTTGGTGTCATGCTGTTTTGTAACATGTGACAGTAGGGTTCCTGGGACTCTGTCCTATCCTGTTTCAGACTTAGCAGTTCAGTACTTCCAGCAAATGTGCTCTTCTTTTTATTTCCTTCTTAACTTACAGTTGGGAATCAAACTGAACCAAATACAGGTTCTGAACAGGAAACAAATTTCTTAAAAAAAGTTAAGTAAATATTTAGACAAGAAAGAGAGTGCAGTTGCTGGATTATGTCTTAGGTGTCTGAGCTATCTGTTTGCTCTGAAAGTTGGTGTGGTGCAATGATTCTACTGGTTTAGTGTGGTGACATGGGAGACCGGTCCACGGTGAAGCTTGGGTAGTAGCAGGCTGCGTGCCTAAATGTTCCCTCATTGCTGCACTGACATAAGTAAGAAGTGATGTGGCTTGTCCAGAAGTGTTTTAACAGATTATTTTCTGTTCCTTTTATTGCGTGAATTGGCAGTAAACTTCTGCATTCATAGGAAAGGCTGGAGTCCTAAGGTTGTGACCCTCATTTGAGCATTGTATTTTTTTTCTAATCTTCAGCCTTCATAAAGTGCAAATTAATGCTGTTTTAAATCCTGTTGTGATTCATAGCATATAAATATTTTAGATACTTGGAAATTTTCATACTTTTACAGTTTAAGATGGATTTACATACATAAATGTATTTATGAGTCTGGTAAGTTCAAATGTAGTATCTTTCTTTTTCTATTTTCTTGAAAAATATATCAGATTAAATGACATGGTGTGCCTTTTGCTCACTTGACCTGAAGCTTCTGTTACTCGAAGAATATTCTTCTGTTATTCTTCAGAGTTTTAGGAATCATGAGTTACTGATAGAATCAACCCCTCTTACTTATCTATGAGTGTGTTTACTGTGTTAGTTTCAGTGAAGAATGTCCTTTAGAAGCAAATACTGTGATCATCATCATTTAATATGCATTGGCTCACAATCTGGGGTGGTCTTGCAGTGTACAAAAGAAACTAAACCAGAAAATGCACCCTGGGAGCAGACCTAATGCAGTCCAGCTGCTAATAAGCATTCAGTTAATGGTACCAAATTATAGTTAGTCTGACATAAAAGTTGCTGAAACATGTATAGTGTAGATGTTGGATTCTTAACACCAAGTGCTTTGCTCTGCAGGTCTGTGTTAAGGTGTGCTGCTTGCCAATATAAGTACAGCCTTTCAGTAACGCATGTGCATTCAAGAGGAGTAGTAAGTATGTAAGTTCAAGATAGTAAGACTTGCATTTCACTTTAAAGAAATAAGTTCTTCTAGAAAAAAAGACTGTTCATGTTACTGTAACTGGTGAAAATGTATCTTTTTTTTTTTATCCCACCAATTCCCAGGTGATCTTCACCAGGTTCCCTGTGATGTGGGCTTATTTTCCTTTCCTAGTTCAGATTCATAAACTCATGCAGCAGACTATAATAACCACTTTTTTATTTACAGATCCTTTCATTTGTTGCAAACCTGGACTCAGTTGGGTTCTTCAGTTCGTGCCTCCCAGGAACATAGCTGGGTGGGGCATTCTTTAAGGGGATGCTCAGAATTTTTTATGCTAGTAACATGGAAGAGTCACTTAAGTGGCAAGTGAAAAAGGAGTTCCTTGTTCCATATTTTGTACAGACTAGAATGTTGCTAGAGAAAATCTACCAGAGAATACTGCAGTCTTGATATTTCTACATCTATTTAAAAAAGCTATCAGGGATTTTATTGTTTGAGGTAAAAAACATTCGCTTATTGAGATACATGTGGAAAAAGGGATTTCAATCTTAGTCTAGCTCCAGGAGAATGTCTTGTCTCCAAGACAGGTGTGACTTGCTTCTTTCAAACTGCATGAGGCTGAAGCAGGTCAGCTGTCTGACACATGGAGTTAAGTCACACAACCACGCACAGGACTATGCTGCAATAGAAGCTGCTGGATAGTCCAGATCCTGCACCTGACCAGCAAAGTCAGTCAGCAGGGGTTTATCATACTGACATTTCTGCTCCCTCAGATGCTGCCAAGTGTCCAGCCTCACCCTGCAGTGGAGCAGAGGTGTTCCCATGGAGAAGCTGCCAGTTTGAAATTGTTCATTTTGGTCATGTTCCCTGCGCTTTCTGACATACAGTGTGTGAAAATTTCCCTACGTAGCTGAAAGAATTAAGAAGTTTGGGTTTTTTCCTTCACTCAAGGAATTCTTTCAAGAGCATTTTTCAATCTGTCTTGTTGATGCTGGTTCATTTCATATTTATTTCCTTGTTCATATTCTCTAAGATTTATTTAGAGCAAGAGAATGAAAGCATCACTTCACCCTGGCAATTAGGAAACTCATTTGGTTTTTGCTTCAGTATCAAATGATTGATTAAATATATACATATATATGACACGAATCAGGTTGATGGTTTCCCATTTCACAGCTGCCTGCAGCCGGTTGATTGGTATACTGGATTGGTATACTCTTGGGTGAAATGGGTGGTGACTCAAATCCTATTAATCCAAAGAGGTGGCCTCTAATTAGCATCTTGTAAGAGCTCCTCTTTGGGTATTTTGTTAAAATGAGGAGATGGTGCTTTTTTGGTAGCTTGAGACTGCTGTCTTAATTTCCTTTTGCTTTTTTTTAGAAATGTACACACGTGCACACAAAAGATTAATTTTGGCTTGAAATGGTTTCCTTGAAGAAAAAACTATCAAATCTTTTATTTATCTTTTTTTCCCTGAACTTGTTTTTTCCATTTTAATCTGCTGGAATGGAAAACCAGCTGCTATTACAACACTGCTTTTGATGTGCGTGCTTGTAAAACTTAATTGCTCCAATTCAGGCTACAGAAAATGTGCCCAGTTAACATCACTACAAATGTCTGCAGCATTATATGCAACAGAGTTGTTTTGAAAAAATATTTTCCTTGAAAACAGACCCATCTTACTTAGGTGAAAAACATATTTGCATATATTACATATTCACTGAAGTTATTTACCCTGTTGTCTTTTGATTCATGTCATGCGTATTATTGCATGCATGTTTGGCTCATGTAGTCTGCTCTGGATATCTTACAAAACCAATTCTGAGAAATGCTTTTGTACTGTTTATATTAACAGTCACTAAAACTACACCAGCTTCTTAGATTATGCCTAAAAGTTGCTGACTTATGATTTAAATGCTATTTTGCTTTATCGCAAAGGACAAAAAGATTTCTCTTTTTTGTAATCATACTTTAACTTTCTATCATTTTTATTTTAATAGCTGTGAAAGGCGGAGAACTCCTGTAAAGATCTCCATCACACTATAGAGATATAATTTAAAAGCACCATTCTATATGAAGCAAAATTCATTATGAAAATATTTAACCATCGATACTGCTATGTACTATCTCAGTGCTGTTACAGATTCTTCCAAAGCAGTATCTTAATGTTGCTTTCACTTAAAAATTACAACAGTATTTTCTGTCCTTCACTGCAGATACTGTTCTTGAAAAGAAGAGAAAACATGACTTATAAAGTGAATCGACCTTAAACTCCTGGACCAAAAACCGAGGGGGTTTTTCATGAAGGATGGCAACACCATACGTTCCTGTTCCTATTCCTATTGGAAGTTCATCATCCAGCTTTACAAACAGAAACCAAAGAAGTTCTTCTTTTGGGAGCATCTCAACGAGTTCCAGCTCCTCAAAAGGACAGCTGGAGGACTCTACAATTGGTAGTTTTAAAAAGATGAGCGTGCCTGACCAGATTGGTTCTACGTCATCTGTGTGTAGTAGTCCACTTGTTAGGACTAAATTTACAGGTATGGATACATCCATAGAATACTGTACTCAGCCTGTAGAAGAAATAGAGCAGAATACAGATTCCAGGAGCTGGGAAGATCGACCGTCCACGCCTACTATACTGGGTTATGAGGTGATGGAGGAAAGGGCAAAATTCACTGTAAGTTTTGGGGATAGTATAGTTCATCCTGTAATGACAAGATAACAATTGTACCTTGCACTCTCTTTCAGTAATTAATCCTTTAGAACTACCAACGTAGCTTCAAAGTACTGCTGTCTGACAGGAAAGTATTATTCCCATTATACAGGTGGGAAAATTGAGACTCAGAAGCAATCTTTCCTGTAATTATGTATATGGAATAGAAAGGATTCATTCTACTTCAGGTATCAGTTTCTGCTGGAAAAGGTAGGAATTCCTTGCAAAGTTACAATTCCCCATGAAATCGAACTTCTAGAAGTTCTGGGTAGTTAAACGCTTAAATAAAATGTAGTCTTTTATTTGAAATAAATGATAAGACACCCTGATACTTACCTTCTGCAGTTACTAATAACATACAACATTTGCATTAAAGTGCAAACATGTAGTTTTCAGCTTCATGCATTGCTAGGTTTAGTTTCTAATAAAGGGAAATCTGTTCAGAAAACGTCAGAGTGAGTTGTCACATATGCACTGTCTCATGCCAGAACACCAGTTTAACTGATTTGTATTGATTTTTCTCAAAATGTACTGTAGCTGGTAATTCAATTTTTTTTTACATGCCATAAATATATTAAGGCATTTGTGCATTTATTTTTGTGGATGTGGCTGAAACATTTTTTTGAGATAATTCAGCGGTGCTTGTGGGACTGATGAAGTTGTTCGTTACTAATTATTTATTAATTATGTTACTTCAGGAGAACATTAATCATAAATAGATAAGGAGGAGGAAATAGCAGACAAACTTTTTTTTTCCTCCTATTTTCTTTTAGATTAGAAAAGGGTAGAAGCTAATGCCTTTATGACAGTTCAGATATACTAGTAAAATCATCCAAGTTCTCTTTGCAACAGAATTAAATAATTCTACTTTTTAATTATTTGAGAATGATGGCTTGTCTTGTCATAAGTTTTTCAGTTTCTAACATCTTCATGCATGGTAGCATATGAGACGAGCCAATTATTTTTTTATACGTGTAGATGAAAAGATTCCTTTAAAATAATACCTTCAAAACTAAACTAATGATTAGTATTGTTATATTGACAAAGATTAGTCTGAAAATATGCCAAAGCATATTCCAGTGTGCATGTAAGATGTTACTCAATGGTAGAATTGACATTACAATGACAACTTCGAGTTCTTATTTTATGTAGAAGGCCAGGTTACAATATAAATGAAACATGCTTCATCGTTAAAATGCTTGGATGTATTTTTGCTCTTTCTGAATTCACTTCTGTTGCTGTGTTTCTGAAAGCACAGTTAACTGTTTGTTTTCAGTTGCATGTTGAAAATAAGCTTGCTATTGTGCATTAAAACCAGCAAGTAATTAGTCTTAGAAATTTTGGTTGCTTCTGCAATAAAAAATCAATGAGATGGAAGACAGTGGAAATTAAGTTGAAATCACCTGTAAAAGAGGAGACTTGCTGAAGTTTTTTTAATGTTTGTTAGCATCTCATAATTCCCAAAAATATGAATCTGAATTGCTTAAGCTGAGTGAGGTACTGACTTGAGTTAAAAGTTACTGCGTGTTGGAGTACATAGCTGCTGAAGCTTATGGCAGAAAAAGCCTAAGTTGAAAAACATCTCTGTTGTAAGCAATTGATCTCAAATGAGTTGGCAGTCCTGGAATGTTCAATTAGCACTTTTTTTAAACCAACTAGAAAGGATAATGAGATGCTGAATCAGCCAGAGATTGTTACTAAATATTGGCATATTTTGTGGCATATTTAAATATTTTGTATTTGTGGAATAAGGCAATTCAGGATTGACTGGAATTACTTGAATTTTTGAATTTATTTGTAGGTCCTTTCCCAAGACATTGTGTGAAGGAACTGACAGTTTTTTAGTACTCTAGTTTTTCTTGTTTATTAATTACAAATCTTAAAAAGGAGGGAAAAAACACCACCCAACTTCTTTGCAACTTTGGCAAGAAAACCAAAACTGTTTGTTTCAGGTTGACTTTTTTTTGTCAGTGGTCACGAGCTGATTGTGCTCCTTATTACAATTAAATTGACCATAACTTATAAAGAGTTTTTTTAAGTTGTCTAATCTTTACTTGGAAACCATTCAAAGTGAGAGTCAGACTAACTGGATTTTTTTCATGTGTGCATTTCTAAGTAATGCCTTTGCGGAACTTTTAGTAGAATGAAAGAATAGAATACTGATCAAATAAATCCTCAAGGTTATTCCAAAGCTTCAAGTTCTACGTTTTACTGTCTGCTAGCAAAGATTCTTCACAATTGTATAGTGGTTTCTGCTTATGAAATTTTCATAAAACTGTTTATACTTTTAGTATGACAAGAAAGCTGAAACATTTGGACAAACTTTATACAGAAACTGCAAGACAGAAGAACTACATTTTAATGCTGGCTTCACAAGCATGTCTTGCAGCATTAATTGTAAAAGCTAATAGCTTTTTGTTAATGACTGAAATATTGCCTCTGTCGCAGTTCATGACTTCCACAGATGCTGCTACTTGAAAGTGGAATTCTGTGTTTAAAAAGTAGATAAGTACTTGCTGAGAAATTGCTTTTAATTTGCACTGTAGTTATCTGTAGTTTGTGTAACTGCCTGCAACTTAATATATTATAGAGTACAAAAGTGCTAAAAACAGTCTCACGCACATACAGAAGTTGTCTAACATTGGGGTTCCTACATGCTGGGATTGCAACAAGAAAAATACATCTATCAGTTAAGACAACCTGCTGTGAAAACGTGAAATACTAGGAAAGATTTTACTATGCAACGGGTTAGAAAATGTTTTAAATAGAATTTGGTTAAATGCCTGTAAGGGATTGTTCATCATTATGATTCAAAAAATATCTTTTTCTTCCTTGTATTTTATTTAACTAGAGAATACCTAGACTGAGAAAGCTAACTCTGTACAATCACAGAGCTTCTTTTTCCTTACACTGGAGAAAGTAAGGTTGTGACACGAGAACCCTTCTTTCCTAGACGCTATTTAATATTTTCTAGTTGAAATTGTGTGGTGTTGGATTCATTTTGTCCAGGCATTTGAGTATCAGTCCTCCTAAAAGGTGGTATTATTATTATTATATCTATTTGTTTTTAAGTAGGAGAATGGTACTGCTGTGCTGTAGTCTTGTTATATCTGATTCAAAGGATCCATTACTTCAGTTCTACAGTGCTAGTATAATTGTTTTGATGCAGTTATCTAGGGAAGTGGTCATACTTTGCTTCGAAAGACAAAACCTAATGTTGAAGACAAATGGAACCAAAGCAGGATGTTATTTTTATCCTGCATCACTTTTCCTTGTGAAGCAAGTCAGAGGAGACAATTTAAAACAATATAACACACAGTAACTAATTACTACAGTGATCTTAAAACCAGATTGGTCTCAAGGATTAATGAGTAAGACTGTAATTCAGCAAACGTTAAAGTAGATCGCTAAAAAATACTTCACTTCTTTGATAGCTGAGACTTGGTTTTTCCTGGGGAAGAAATCTCAATGCAGTTTCACAAACCCTTTCTTATAGACAGTAAATTGTTAAATTTATTTAGGAATTACAGAAACTCCTTCCTTAAATTCTGAAATTAATTTATACTGCTTGTACTGATAATTATTTTTTTAAATACAATTAAGGATCTTTTTTAATCCACAAGTTTTGTTTCATTAAGAAGTAAAGGATAATTTCAGCCTTCCAGCCAATGCAGCGTGAAGTTGTGCACGTTTTTCTGATATTTCTGTTTTTCCACACAGGTATACAAAATACTAGTAAAAAGAAGTCCAGAGGAAAGTTGGGTGGTTTTCAGACGGTACACTGACTTCTCCAGGCTTAATGACAAGGTGAGAATTATACTCTCGTAAATTCTCAGTTAAGTTGCCTCATTCTTCTTTCACGTTTCATTTTCTTTGTCTCTCATGTTTCTGTCACTTTCTTCTTGCTTTTTTTACTGCATGGAAAACACATACTATTTTATGATTGAAAAACATGATTCCTCATTTTTTTAAGATACTTGAAATAATAACTACAGCTAGTGTAAAGAAGATATTTCTTCATCTGAAGCTGTTAGTGTCCTCCATACTTTGTATTTATTCCTAATCTATGTCATAAAGAAATTAACTCTTTAATAGTTGTGTCTACATGGCAATAGAACTGGGGACCTGTGGTTTTTTGCAGGAATGATCCAATAATTATTCAGTCCTTTTCAGTGCAAGAAACTCTGCTTTCTTCATGATAAAACTGAAGTTTCCTGAACATAAGAGAGTCTTTGTATGTTGGTCAGTCTTCAATTGTTTTCCATGTCTTCAAAGTTAATTGTGAAATATTACATCAGATCTTTAAAGCTGAAGGCAGAGACACCACGTAAATAAGAGTTCTGGGTCAGGAACTTAATATTTTTAGAACATTTGAAAGCAAAAAAAGTTTGTCTAAAAAGCACAAGGTTCTTGAATTGGTAAATAGCGTTCAACTATCCCATTTACCATTATTACTACAGAAGCATAAAATTAGAAAAACAGAATTACACTTTTCTTTGTCCACTCTTAAGAATAATCTTTCATTGCAAATTTAACACATTTTTGTCTGTTTTGTTCTTTCATATTCAAACTTGTAACTTTTTAACACTCCCTTTTTTTTTTACCTGTTGTAAGTGATTTTTTGGTATACCTTTCCTTGTCCTTGGATGAATGTGGCTAATTGACTAAGGACTTAATTCTGCTGAAATTTTGAATATGGACTTGAACTTACACATTTTTCTGGGTTCTTGATTTGATCTATTTAGATATATTTTTAGGCTACCTTTAAAACACCAGTGCAGTCTAAAACTACCAGAAATTGTTGAATGTGAATTAGTTTAGAGATTTCTTTCTGAAGAAATTTTTGTTTTAATTCAGCCTATCCTAAATTAACGACTGCCTTGGTATTGGCAAAAGCCTGACTTCTGTTGAGATGATGATGTTTTGGGGATTTCAACTCAAAGAAAGTCAAGTCATATAACAGTTTGTTTGCTAACAGCAATAGCTAAAGTTCTATAAATCATTAGAGACAGAACCACGGGAAGGAGGCAGTGAAATAACAGAATCATTACTTGAGAGCAAACTATATAAAGCAAATAGCGAATGGTACAGCAAAGACTGAAATACTGTCTTTTGCTTTAAGACTAACAAATAGTTAATCTTAGCGGATGTTGGAACGTGACAGAATTTGAGGCCTTGGAAGCAAAGGCTAAAATACAGACATTTGGCTAGGTGCATAGGTTTTGTTAAGAACACCTAGTGGATTGGAGGAGTATGTGAAGAATACTCTTCTGTCCCAAAAATGGCGGGAAAAGAACTTTGTAAATTTTATCACTGTGCTGCTAGAGATGTTGAACAAATAATGAAATGGCCAGTCTTAAGAACCAAGTTGCCCATTTCTCCCTGAGACTGTGCCTTGTGACAGGCATAGTCTATCACATGATGATGTAGGGGAGAAACATCTAGAAAAGATGCTGGATCCAAGCAAGCGATTCCAGCCAGCATAACTTGTCTGACTCACAGTTTTTCCTGCTGTGTCTGAGGAGCGTTCAAGAAAGAATGCCCCAGGCCTGTGATGTTGAAAGTTAGTCTGCTGACAGCAGCTAGCTTTCTCATATTCTCTTCATCCACAAAAGGAGTAATCTGTGGGTAGGCATACTCTTTCCTTACAAATAAATTACATGATCTCCATAACCAGACAAGTGAAATTACCATTAAGTAGAAATCTGTGTGGTCGAAAAGCTTTCACAGCAGTGGTTATCTGTGGTCCTCTCTACAACTAGCACAGGAGCTCATTTTGTTATCTTTTCTGGGTTCAGCTCTATTCAGAATTTTATTAAGAGGGGTTGTGGGGCATAGAGGATACTTACATGTATGGTATTAATGATAACTTGATAAGAGATGAAGGAACTTTGGATGACCAAGCATAAATTTAAAAATATCAAGAAGAGTCTAATAGCAAAAATTCAGTAAGAGAAGATGAAAACATATACTTAAGTATTTAAACGCAGAAATAAAGAGCAAGGCTTTGACAATAAACCATTCTATAAATAAGAAACTAGTAGTTATCATCAGGTTATTTAAATATACAATGCTTCTGACGTTAAAAAAGCACCCTTCTTGTTCTGTGAAATGATACTTCAATGAGCAAGGGTGATCCACTAACGTGGTTCTTCCTTTAAACTGTGTGGAGAGATTCTAGCTGAAATACAGTATCTGGTTTTAACTTCTGCAAAACTTAAACTACTAGAAGAGCTACCCGTTAGCTTTTTCCAAGAGTCCATAAAGAGTAGTTAAATAAATCTTATTGTCAGAAGGCTTAAATTTTGCTGTGCAAGGATGAAGAATTATGTTGTGGCTATGTAAACATTGAGTGCTAAACTGTTTTTGAGGCAGATTCTGGAATCCCTGTCACTGGAACACTCATACAGATTGAGTACGAATTAGGTGTATACAGTACATCCCTGACAGAAGTTGGCTTGATCCTGTCTTCAGAAAAAGATTAAACAATTCTTCTGGCAGTTGGAGGAACATTAGATTTTATAAAACCTGTTTGTTTTTTCCTGATGGTTGCAAATCCTCTTTGAGGTTTTTCTGTCTCAAGCATCCCTTCTAAGAAAAGGTATCTAAAACTGGTTTTTTGAAAGCATTAATATTTTTTAAATTTTCATGCATGTTAGAAAAATAATGAATTGGCATCCTTGGATAGGCCCATCGTTATATAATTTTATGCTTCCATTCACTTGCATATTTCATATCCAAATTCAAAGAAAAATTTTAGGTATTTCTGATGTTGAGTATACCCCATTATTAAAGTAACTCAAAAATACACTTTTGGATGTTAGTACTAGGGTTTGAGCTGCATCCATGCATATTGAAATTTCAGTGTTCTGGGTGTATAAGGAGCTGCTCTACACTAGGAGTATCTCATCTGTGTCTTAATTGATTCTGCTGCTCCCCCAAAAAAGAAGAGTTGTAGATCTGTAGCAGGATTTTATATATCGTATTTATATAGTACTTATTATCCCTGAGTACTTTAGAAGAAACACCACTGAAACGCTTAATCATCTGATACTTTTTACTTACATACAATTTTCTTATTTACTGACTCAAAAGCCTTAAATATCAAAATTGGAGACATTAAATAAAAAAGCAAAGTTCTTTGTTCCTATTTTTATGTGGTAAATTTGTGGTGTCATTTGTTTGTGTAAGGCAACACAGCAAGTGACAGAACTGTGTCCACAGTTTATGCTATAATTTGGATTGTACTTACGGTTGAGACTTACCTTGTGCTTGAACTTAATAGAAGACAGAAAGATCCCATAATGCTGAGTCAAGTCAGTGCCTGTGTCAAATCCAGTATTTCAAGCCTTTTTTCTTGGTTTTCCTCATTTGGCTTTGATTTCTGTTTCAGCTGAAAGACATGTTTCCAGGCTTTCGGTTGGCCCTTCCACCAAAGCGCTGGTTCAAGGATAATTATAATCCTGACTTTTTGGAAGATCGACAGTTGGGACTACAGGCATTCCTTCAGAACCTAGTAGCTCACAAAGATATTGCTAACTGGTATGTGATTAAATTTTGCTTGTGGATTAGGATTTTTTTTGTGTGTTCAGACTCCTCACAGAGGCTTCCAGACTCTAGCAACACAGTAAGTAATATCATTAACGTGCATGTTGTGCATTTGGTCATTATGTGAGTTATTTGGTGTCCTATTAAATTAATCCCATCTTAATCTAAGCAAAAAAAGGCAAATTGCAGTATTTTGAATAGTACATGGTTAACTACTAACTAAAAGTTGTAATATTTAACATGTTAGACTGATGCCATGTTTACTCACAAAACAGTACTTCTGTGTGCAGAATGCAGAATTGATATATTGTTAATTTATATTGAAATTAAGTGTTAGGCTATCATATTGAGATTAAGTGTTAGGCTATCATAATGGAAAGTACCTACTCTGTTACATGTTTAGTTCTTAAAATGTGTATTAAACTATACGTTTTTAATTTACACGACATCATAGTAATAAAACTACCTTTCTAGAGTGCTTTACATAAGTAAAAGTAAACCACAAATCAAAAAAGGCTTAAGAAGAGTAAAAAAAAAATGGAATGTGCTTAAGCAACAAAGTGCAGAAGTCTCTTTGAACAATACCTTTTTTCATACAAAGTGGAAGATTCTCCCAAAGATGTAAGATGAGTACAACATAATTCTGGCAAATGAAGTGTAAAATCATTTTAATATAGGCCAAAAGAGAATTTTAGTAAGCAAGCTGCTAGAGGCAGAGTGGTTAGTTCTAAAAAACTTTTCCAACACTAGAAATAAAAAGTTGTGAGGTTGCTGTACCAGAGATTCTTTGAGGAATAGGTCAGCAGAACTGTCTTCATCTGAAACTTCATTAAAAACAAAGTGTGTGAAATTCTCTAGAACAGTCTTCCCTCAAGAATTTTAAAGGAACTAAAATGTAAAATTGCTGAGCTGTGGTGTGAGACTATCAAATGCTCATATTTACTTTACTTTTTAGTAGAATGGCTATTACTACATTTGGCACATTTTTATCAGGCATTTAACTGTTGAGTCTGGAAAGTAGAGATTAGTAAGTCTGAATTTTGGTACTGCTTGTAATAAAAAAAGTAGTAAGCAGGTAAATAAAAATAACACTTGGAAAAGCAATAAGGTCTTTTGCAGAGGGAAATCTATCTAACAAGTAGATTTGAAAGAGCTCGTATAAAATGCTTGAAAGGCAGGGGGAGAAGGATTGATGGAGATTTAGGAGTATTACATATGGAATGCTGGATCACAGTTCCGGACACTTATGTTCAGAATATCCAGAAACTATCCGGAAAAGGGAATGAACAATGAGATCATGAAGTATTGTAGAAGGATCCTGAGGCACTCAGTGACTAACATTAATTTTTATGTCATGAAGTGCAAAATGACAGTAAGTACGTAAATACAGAATCATAAACTCTGTTTTTTACAACCTGGAAAATAACTGTTGGCATTGATACCATTTTGTGAATCAGTTTAGTATTCAGCAACATTCAAAAAGTTGCATAAAAATTGTTGAAGAGGAACTCAGAAAGAAAAAATGTTAAACTGTGGGAATCTGAATTGCACTTGCACATAGTCCCTGTGCTAAAACACAGCATTCAATTTCAAGAGGATCTACTAGAAGTACAGAGAAAAGCAAGCAAGACTAGATGAAGCTACAGACAAACTTACCTGCAAGAAGAGTTTTGTTCTCTTTAGTCTGTCATCTTGGGAAAGGGCTGGCTAAACAGGACATAGGAAATCATCAAGGGAATAGGGAAGGTGAGTAAAGAATGTTAATTTTTTGGATGATTCATAGTCAGCTCTCAATATGTCACACCGAGTTGTGAAGCTTTGTTGTGAGATGTCAGACAGAAAGCTTAAATGGTTTCAAAAAGAAATTGGGATCAACCTGTGAGTTTCTCTGTCAGTGGCTATTAAACATGATTATATAGATGAAATATGTGGCTGAGAAGTTCTAAGAACTTCCTGATTATTGAATTACACAATGATAGGTGTGTCAAAAAAAAAAAAAGGAATTATTCTCTAAATGTCACTTATGCTGCTGGAGACAGACTAGTGAGCTGGATGGACTTTTAGTCTGCTTGAATAGATCTGGAGGCTTTATGCTTGATGATGGTCCATATTGGACAAAATAGTGTTTGTCATGATTTAAGGCAAAAAACCCCAAAACATAATTTTTAGACTGTATCGCTAATCAGATACAAAAGGGAATTTAAATGTTTGTAGAATCAGTTTGTATTTTGCTTTAATGAACAGATAGTTAACTGTGGTTTTGAGGGAAACTCTGATCTTGGCTGTGTCGGGCTCTGCATGAAAATTAAGTTTATTAATAAACTTTATAATCTATTGCTAGGGCTTATGTTTTAGTGTTTGGATCTACAGAAGGTCTGGATTCTCAGGAAGTGATTAAAACTAGGGAGATTTGATGTGTCTTATTTTTTTACCCACTTAGCAGAGATTAAAAGTTACTATTAATGGAAGTTAATATTTGCACCTTACCTGAGCAGTGGTGAGCATCTGACCCTGCTTCCTCCTTAAAAGCACACCATTTACTTCCACAGTTTTGCAAACAAGTCAAACTACTTGGGTTTTTTTCTTTGTAGAGGAGTCTCTCTTGTTTCTCTTTACACATTGTATTATCATTAAGATATATTGACAGTAAGAAATTTGCCCTTCAGGGGTAGGAGACCTCATTTGGTACAGCTATATTTTAATAAAACTAGATCCACAAAGTAGTTTAAAGATAAAATGTAGGATGGTATGCAGGTGACTAAATTTAGAGTCTGCGTTTTATGGATTCCTTCTTGTATTTTGCCTTGTATTGAAGATTCAGTGAAAGATCAAATTGAAATCCCCCCACAGAGTTTAATGTGTTCAAGAAAATTTCATAAAACCCATAAAGTGGGAGAAAGAAGTTTAACCTGCTAAACAGAAGTGTCATCTGACTTTATATAGATGACATGGCTCTCCTCTGCTTCCACCCCATATGAGAAGGTTGAAAGAGAAGAACTCAGCTGGTGAGTCTGGTCAGGGATCTTGTGTGTGGTACTGCCCCTTGCTGCCCTGCTTAATGCTGGTGTACCCTGGCATTGCTGCCTCTCTGAGAGGGATGGCAGCTAGCACAGGAGCAAGGAAAGAAGCCCTGCATGGCAATCTCTGTTACAGGATGTAGAAGACTTAGACGATGCTTTTAAGGCAGAATTTTCTCTTGTTAAATGAAAGGAAGAGGTGTAACATGTGGAGGGGAGAGCAGGGGCAAAGCAGACTCTGCTAGGCTGCAAATTAATGTTTATGCCATCAGCTGCATATTTTAGATAAACGATCTTTTTGGTGACATGGTAGCTTTAAGTTTCTTGACCTCCTTATGTAAAATAATGAATCTGCAGCTTTCAATTTCAAGAAGCTTTGAAAACTACAGAAAAAGACACAGTTTTCTGCCAGCAGCTGTAGGAAAAACAAAACAACAAAAAAAGGGGTTGACCTTATGTAAGTAGATGACATATGTAGATAGGATGTTTTTGCACATTTATTTTCTGGATAGGTTCTTTTTCATTCACAAGCATTACTGCATGTTATACCGTTTTAATGTTATGTTACCCTTTAATAATACAATAAAAGTACTAGCAAAATGTAGAAATTAAATACTTTTAAAAAATGTTTGAACTGAGCTATGTGAATAAGGATGAAGATATTGAAGAAAAATAATGAGCAGAAGTGTTTCCACATAATGAATTCTTCTGCATTAGGCATATGTGAGTTCTTTCAGCATGTTTATGAAAAGAACAATTCAATCATTAAAAAATGGACGTGAGTATCATGTTGGAAAAGGGGCATTTCAAACAGATTAAACTATATGGAGAGGAAAAAAACAACTCTGCTTTTCTCCTGGAAAATGTACTTTATATGCTTGAATAACTTTTCTTTTGGTTTGAGGTTACGTTTTCTAATAATTTAACTAATGACTTGTTACTATCTATCATTTTTTTGTGGTATTTGGAGTGATAATTTTGGTTTAAGTAGCAGATTTTTTTATTATTTGAGTATGTAGGAGAAGCTGTTTTAATAGTACAGGTTTAAGCTATGGCTTGCACAGATCATGGATTGATTAATGTAAAACAGTGGAGATGGCTTGAAAAAAGAATATACTATCACATTTGTCTCATAGATTAAGTGGGGGAAGGAATGATTGTGATTATAGGAGAATTTTTTTCAGGTTGGTGTAAAGGCTGATGAGGTCAAAGTGGATACAAAGACAAGAATTCTCACCAACCGTTGGCCAAAAAACCACACCAATATTTTCACATGTGCAATAAGCACTTGAAAGCAAGCTTACAAAAATCCAACAACAGAATAAAGATTCAATGTATTTTGGATAAATATTCTTCAGAGCCTTTCTAAAGCTACAAGTTATGGTATAATCAATGATTAGTGTTAGCTGAAGAAATTTCTCTTCTCATTTTGCTTGCCAAACGTGAAGCTGTTTGATTAGATTGGTAGCTGGGTAAAAGTTTCCTTTTTTGTGTTTGTACTTTGCATCTGCCTCAAATGCAGAGAATGAGCGGAAGGCAGGAAATTACTTCCTTTCGCCCTCATCTTCCTGCGGGACTTAGGTGGGAGGAAGAGACAGGGAATTAGTTTGGATTCACATCTTCCATTTTTGTGCATTCATTGCAGTTAGGAGGTGACTTAAAGATTTGTAGTAGTGAGTGCAAGCACAGAATTGCGAAGTTACTAATTCCTAATTTATTGTGAGTACAGTATTCTGATTGGAGGTTATTTATAGACCAATGAATACAACAGAGCGGGAAAGTCTTAGAGGGGTGGGTGAAGGAACATGAGTGGAGGTATCGAAGAATTCTGTGAAAACTTGGAAGATAGAATGAACAAGATGCTCAAAATATACCCTATAGTAAACCACAGGATTACACGTACTTCCTCCTTCTGGCCTTTGCAAACCAATGCACAGAGGGGGATGACAAGTGTTACACAATATTGAGTGCATTAGTTTGAAATGTTTGTTAGACATGCTATGTAGTATATCCATGGCACATAAACCTTGTCATTTCTTATGCTTTTATAACTTCTTATTCTTTTATATATATATACACACTGTATATATAAAAATTACATACTGTGTATATGTCAATGGATTACGATCATAGCAAAATGGAGACACATAAGCATGTTGCAGTACCCATGCTTAGTTCCACGGATAGTTCCTGAAGGGATCTGCGTCTGGATTTTAGCAGTATACTTTTTCATCCATCTTTTAATATTTATTTTTCACCAGGAGAATTTTTCAAACCTCTTCAATACCAAACTGATAAACTTGATTGTCAGTTGTCATGTAGCAACAAATTCTATGAAGATTTGAAAAATCGTGTTCTAAATGGACTTACTCTCTGTTTGAAAACTCTAAGTGTACTTGTGCCATTTCTTAAGTCACATTTTAAATACTGTCCCTAGTTAACACATACAACTGCGACTTAATAGTTAACATCATTTTGAATACTTGGGAGTAAATTTGAAGATAGATGTTTATGTCCCTTAAAGAAATACTGCCCTTGTATGATCATATTTAAGTGTAGTTGCTTTTTTTGTACTTCAAGTAATTCACTCTCTTTTACTTGGTAAAGTCTTGCAGTGAGAGAATTTCTTTGTCTGGATGATCCTCCGGGTCCTTTTGACAGTCTAGAAGAGAGCAGGGTAAGTGCTATGTAACATGATAAAAGCAGAATGCAAAAGGTAGTAGTTGTTGGTAGAATATTGTAAAATCTGCTAAACGGTATGGAATGAAACATTTATTTCTGTTCTGTCACAAAAATTTGCAAATGGATTTCTAAAACTGACATGGTCTGATTATTGGGGTACACTGATAATCTTTGATTGCTGTACTTCATCCCTATCCCAAGATGTAATCTCTTTCTTTTTGCCTTTTATGAGCAGTGAATGAAACTTGGGTGTAAGGCAACTACTGAATATAAGGAGAGGTATTTTGTAGGCTTACATTCAACACGTTGTCATAATTCATACAGGTGACTTCAGGTTTTGCAGTAAAATTTTTCTTGCTCTGAAATGTAATGAAAGGGTTAATTTTGACCACCAAAAATAGCGTTCTTGCAGATAACTAAGCAGTGTCAAGTAGTGTTGTAAAACAGCAGCCTTTCAACGTGCATATGAGCATATTGAACAAATACTCTGTGCTGCAGCCTGTTTTATTAGAAGTAGGTTTCGCTGGCATGCAGAGGCTGTATGAAGTCTGTCTAGAACAAGTAGTCTTAGCTTTCTTGCTTTGTAGAATAAAATATGTTTTGGAATTGCACATACGTTGTTAATACTGCAGAAATTGTGAATGTCAAGTGATGCTCTTAAACTAAATTTATGTTTACCAGTTTGTTTTGTATGTAAGTGGGAGTGCCTTGGCTCTTCTTACTTTACTGTGTACATCTGAAGGATTTGGTATGTTTTTTGTGTTAAGAGCTTATATTTGATGTTTGTACAATCATTTTTCATCATAGCTATTCAAGTTGATGAAAAGTAATAAAAATTACAGGAATTATTTAGATAATTAAGAAATGTAAGTACCTTCTTCATAGAGATTTTGATCATATGTACTGTGATGAAGTCTCAGGGTTATCCTTCCACCATAGAAATTTAGACAAACTATTAAAATAGCTGTGCTGTTGTAGTTTTGGCTATTAATAATTTATGTAAAGTTGTTAGAGGCAGCTGTCATAAAATTCTGGTCTCCAGGGGATACCCCACCTTATTACAGAGTGGTTGAGGTTGGAAGGGACCTCTTGAGATCATCTAGTCCAACCCTCCTGCTCAAGCAGGGTCAGCTACTGCAGGTTGTCCAGGGGCGTGTCCAGTCAGGTTTGGAATATTTTACAGAGGAGACTTCACAACCTCTCTGTGCAGCCTGCTGCAGTGTTTGATCACCATCACAGTAAAAAAATGTTTTTGTGTGTTCAGATTGAATTTCCTGGGTTTTAATTTGTGCCCATTGTCTCTTGTCCTATCAGTGGGCACCACTGAGAAGAGTCTGGGTCCCTCTTCTTCATTCCCTCCTGTCAGGTATTTATACCCATTGATAAGATCACACCCAGCCTTCTCTTTTTCCAGACTGAAGAGTCCCAGCTCTCTCATCTCTTCCCACATGAAAGATGCTCAAGTCCCTTAATTATCTTTCATTATGATATTTGAATCATGAGACCTGGGGTCCTGGTGGGCAACGAGCTGGAGATCAGCCAGCTCCCTTAGCACTCATGGGTGCAACCTGTCAGGCCCCATGGACTTAATGTCCAGTTTGTTTAAGTACTTCTTGACCTAGTCCTCCTCCACTGAGGGTAAGTTTGCCTTGCCCTTCCTTATCTTTCGCTCTGGTTGCAGAGCTCTGGGATTCCTGAAGGCTGGTCTTACCAGTCAGGACAGGCAAAGATGGTATCAAGTAACTTCACCTTGTCAGTGTCGTTTGTCCTAAGTTCCCCCACTCCATTTGGCAACAGGCACATGGTTTCCCTAGCCTTCCTTTTGTTGATTATGTACTTGTAGAATCCTTTCTTGTTTCCTTTCACGTGCCTTGCTGGATTCAGCTCCAGGTTGTCCTTCACACTTTCTTAACCCTGTTCTTGTAAGATCAGACAGCAGCCGTGTTCTGCTCCTGGGTCACCTCTCTGTGTTTCCACCGCTAGTACGCTTGCTTTTTATGTCTTGAGTTCAGCTAGGAGTTCCTTGCTCATCCATACCTGTGTTTCACTTCCTCCTTGTTGAGCTGGACCTTATTGAGCTTAGAGGTGGTGATCCTTGAACATCAATTAGTTCTCCTGGACTGCTCTTCTCTGCAAGGTGGTTTCATGTGGATTCTTTCTTCCAAGCAGATTTCTGAAGAGATTGAAGTCTGCTCACCTGAAATCCATAGCTGTGGTCCTGATTTTTGCCCTGCTCCTGCCTGTTAGGATTCTCAGCTCCTGCGTATCAGAGAGCATCTATATCCATCCCTCGGTTGTTTTGGTTTTTTTTTTCTAAACAATGCCCAACTATGGGACAAGTGCTGTGGTTCACAGACTTATTCCTGGAGTTCATTTTTAAAGGTATCTAAAAAATCACTTCTGTTTTGCCTTACTCTTGTCATACAAGTGCTGCAAAAAAAAATCTATTACTGTTTTCCTGATAATGGAAAATACAGGTATCTTCTATTTTTTATGTCTAGTCTATTATTCCAGTTCAAGAAGGACTTGCCAAAAAATTTATTTTTGAGGAGGAGGGGTACAGGTACTTCCCTCACTAGAAATCAGTTAGGCTTTACAGAAGTTTAATCACAGAAATGTAGGCAAAATATTCACTAAGGCAATCTTTTCTGTCATATCCGTGGTAATTGTTTCCGCAGGTCCTTTCCCAGCCATCAGTGTTTCATGATCCACTGCAGAAGGAAGTGAAGCTCTCTTCCAGCTTGCCTAGTTCTGTTGCCCTTTCAGAACTTACAGGGAAAATTGGTCCCACCTGGGTATTGGAAGGTACCAAACTCCAGGTGTCCAGCTCTTCAAGGAGCAAGATATCTCTTTGCGCACAATTCCCTGATCGGTCTTTATCAGCTTCGATTCACCCTTCTGCTATTACAGCATCCTTCAGAACATGTTGATGTTTTCTTACTCAGTTGTGTAACTTCCTTTCCTTGGGCAGCTGATGCAGAGATTGCAGCTAGAGATGAGTTTTTCTAAAAGGCTTTTTTCCAGTTCTCATATAGAACAATTAAACAGTTCACAACACTTGTGGAATACTTTCAGTTATTCTGTGAACAGGGAAATTCGCATAAACCTAAAGGTAGAAGTAATATAACTTAATTATATTCTTAAGGAAATAATGGCCAATTTTCAGTTAGGAGACCAGCATTCCTGAGCAGTTTTACAGAATACACTAGAATTCGCTTGACTGGCTTGGATGAAACAGGATGACTGCTTAACTGGAATGCTAAAATGCTGTGTGAAGAATGAATTGCATCCCATGTGTTCTTGTCTCTAGTAGATGTGAATTAAGCTGTGGCTTATCTGATGATTCGTCTTCATTGCCTGTCAACCAAGATAAGTTTGCTGAGTCAATAAAATAAATTAAAACTCAGTGAAAAAAAAAAAAGTTATTGGATTGAAAAACACTGCATTTGTTTGAATTGTACAATTACAGGAGAACTTAACATTTTAAAGCAGCTAACAAGTCTGCTTCAGTTAAAGCAAAGAACAGTATCCTCTTGATGTTTGTAGCCCTTTTTAAAGCTTTAGGAAAAGCAGTGTCTTAATAGCATTGTTCTTAACTGAGCTGATATAAAATGTTTATATTCAATGGATTCTGTGAGTTAGTGGTTAGTTGCATGTAATGTTAAGCCAAGAAAGCCTCCTGCATGGGTTTCTGATTTAGCAAGAACACGTAAATTATTAAATCCAAATTGCCCCTTACTGTTGGTAGGCATGCTCTTTCCAGTAACAGATCAGCAGGCTCTGTGCCAACGCTTCTGTCTCTCCCTGCATTCAGTGGGTATTGCATTATATGTTGGTCCTTCACATGAAGGTTTGAGATTGCTCACTGTCAAATTCATCAGGGTGTACTATATATACATGTCGTGCTCAGCAGAGTAACACAACATACTTACCATGGTTGAGTGGTTAGCGTTCTTGGCATTTCATTAGACTTTTTCAAAATGTTTCTGTATTGGTCTTATGACTCACGACTGTCATATTTGTAACAGCTGTTTGCTACAGAACTGTACAACTCTCCCTTTATCCTGGGTAAGGGAAGAACATGCACTTTATCCAAATATTCCCAACATCTTGGGAATAATTAGATACTTGGACTTCCAAGTCATGTGAAAGCAAAGCTTATATGAAGGGAGAGTAGGGAGTTCAGGTGATGTTCCACGTAGGCAAAAAGGTTCAGAATTAGGGACTGCGCATCAAAGGAGAGAAACCTCTTTCTAAAGTTTCTTGTGAGACAAACAAATGATGCAATGAAGTATTTGCACTGCAGTTTAAATAATAAATTCAGTGTTCAAAGCAAAGCAGCATTGTTTTGTTAAGGACAGAACTTAATTTTATATAGCTCTTTATAGTACTCAATATAGTACTCAAAAGAAAATCAGCTGCAATTCTGTTACAGGTTGATTTTTCTAAAAGAAAAATCAATAAAGGCCACTGAAGTTAAATGGAGGATGTTCTTAAATTTGTCTTTCAGGCTTTCTGTGAAACTCTGGAGGAAACAAATTACCGTCTACAAAAAGAACTGCTTGAAAAACAAAGGGAGGTTGAATCGCTGAAGAAATTGTTAAGTGAAAAGCAACTTCATATAGATGCTATTGAAAGAAGAATTAGGTATGTAGAAATTTTATGGGGTTTAGGAGTTTCTTTGCATGAAGGCATATTCTCTATATAGTCATAAGCACCAGCTTTAAATGTATTCTTGGAAACAATTTTCCCCACGTAACCACACATAAAGCAATATTTTCTGTAGGCTCTTTCTTATATGCTGGCTGAAAAGCTGTTCTTTATTACAAATGACTGAGAAACTGTTGTCCCATCTTTTTCCCACTAATGTGACTGGGATTGTGTTTCCTAATCCTCTAAATCCTGTAGAGTTAAGGTAAAGATACTGTTCTGCTTTTGAAATGGCCTGCTAGAGATGAGAGCAGTGGAAAAATTGCTTAGTTACAAAATTCCACCTGTAGTCAAATCTTTGACAGAGCGTAGTGATCAAGCGATTATATGTCTGTATTAATGTCTTTAACTTTGTTCTGGATTGCCTGGAATGATGCCACAGATCATCCCTTTAAATCTAAGGGGGAAAAATGGTGGAGTTTTGTTTAAAAAAAACCAACTTTATGATGCCTGTTTGCTAAATTTTGTAACAAGCCCAGGGGAGTTGATGTTGGGCTATTCAGTGTCCTGCTAGACCTGCTGAGTCAGTCACTGTGGGATTTCCTTAGCAAAGGAGTACATTCCCGTGGTCCCTGTAGAAGTTAATGCTACTTGGGTCGTTGAGTCTAGCATATCCAGGTTGACTAACAAAACACATCTTTGGGTATAAGGCTTATACTACGTTTGGAAAAGGATTTAAATGGAATTGTGGCTTATCGAAAATTCTGATCTGAATACCATATGCAGTTTGTCACTTATTCCTGAAGGCAAGTAATTACATTTGAAAGGTGTTTTCCCTGTTTGACGTGAAAGTTCTGACTGCTGCTGGCTTAAACAGTGAAATAGGCAATAAAAATGAAGTAACTTGCATTTGGCTAAAATACGATGATAGGAAATTCTGTGTGACTAAAAATAAGAAGGCATGAGTAGCAAAAAGGGATTTCATTTTTTAGCACTTCCCCTGAAGATAGATTTTTTTTTAAACACAAACACCCTGCCAGTTTCCCAGACATTTAAAATTATTGAAAGTCAGCCAAGTAATATCTGAAGTCTTAATGGAAAATAACTCCTGTGGTTTTTAGTTGTAAAAGTTACCAAATAAACCTGTGACCTTGTTTAAGAAATTCAGCTTGTCGGATGGGAATTGAACCCAAAAGAAACGGGTCTGTCTTTTGGCCTTATTGAAGTGCAATTTTGACCTGATGGTGCAACAAGAATTAAGCACCTTCTGCCTTTATGCTCTAAAGGCCAGGTACCTAAAATGTGTGTGAGGTAGGAGGGGACAATTGGATAAGGGCTTGTAGCTCTTTACGTATCATACTGGATTTGGCCCAAACATAGGCTGATAATCACGTTAGAGAATACTGCTGAGGGTAAAGCACACATCACCTAAAATGTGTGCATTAAAATAAAACTACAGAAACAGTAATAGAGTAATTTAAAAAGAAGATGAAATGTCGTATCACTTTCAACACAAAATTGTTCGCAAGCTTTTCTTTCCAATTCAAGTGGCAGTTTTCAACACTAAATTGATGTTTTCCACGCAGAGCAGTACTTTGGAAACAAGGGGGTTTTTTATAATTTTACATGACCATATTCTCGTTTTTTAGCCAGGCTAGTCGAACTGCCAACTCATGTTCCTGTTCAGAAGAAAATTACTACCTGTCTCTTTTATGAATGGAAAAATGTATTGCTGTGAAAGTTAATACGTGACTCTGAAGTTACAATGAGAAACTTGGGAAACTATTGAAGAAATCTTTTTATCATCCTGTCTGTCTTCCTTCTGACTATGTTTTGTTTATCCTTCTGCCATTTAGGCAAGACATGTGTGTGGCTTAGGTCATCTGCTTGTAGTTTCTTACCTGAAGTCATAATCACTCCTCTGGGACTTCAGTTTTATAAAGCTACTAAATTGTGATGCAACCAGAGGATTGAATTTAATTTAGGAATAAGCAGCAGGAGCAAATAAACTGTTTAAATAGCTATCCAGTGCAAGCCCCGCATCTCCATCGTAATAAAAGCAATGGGGCATGTAGGAGCAAGATTGATAGGTTCCCAGAAACTGCAGTTTAAAACAAAACAAACCGCTCTTCAGTGATGAATGTTTGCTGTATGGATTGGTGGTACTCTGTTCTTATTTGTTGTAGGGATTTATCTTTAGGAAATATGACTCGTCAAATGTCAGGAGAAGAAAGTGAGTGCAGTGGTGAGGTGGAGTCTTCTGCAGTAGAAGCAGACCAGGGTACCCTGGGTGAGGACAGCTGGTAAGTACTATTATTTTACTTAAAATATATTTTAGTTTTTCTTAAAGTCTGTTTTGTAATGTTTGGTCTTGTATAAATTCTGAACAGCTAAGGCATTCAGCATTTTATTGCACCTCTCTGTAGCTATCCCATGTTTCATAAAGGCCCTCAAGATAGATAATTTTAGATCTGGAATAAGTGGTAAGTTGAACAAGCTTTGTAAATGTTTTGTGGATTGCAGGCATAAAATGACTATGGAGAATCATATTAGTTTCCGTTTGACAAAGCTTGTTGATGTGTTGTTGCAGCTCGGATAAAGAGAACCATGAGGCATGCTGGAGTGGCTCTTTGGCTGAAAGTTCTGTGCCAGAAATTGAAGTCGCTGAAGTAGCGTATACCGCTGATGAAGAAGAATAGATCGGTAGCAGCTGCTGTTACCTGGGAAAGGTTCATGTCTGGGACATACGCTGTGGGCAGGGGCGTACAGTAGCTGTGAAGAATTTACAGCAAAGAGCGAGAATGCACATATTGAATGTTTACATAAATCCTTACAAATTATTAATGTAAGAAATATACCCAGTGCTGCTTTGATTTCAGTTTTTATCTAGCCTTTATATATTTAATATATTAAAGTCTAATAAGGGCTAAAATCAGCTAAAGTTTAGATAGTGTGCATACACAATTTGGCTGACTTTCCTAGCGGAGTGACGAAAACTTCACGTTAAATCACCAAACACAGCTAACTAGCATCTCATATGTTGCCACTAATGTGACGCATTTGATGTGTTCATCTGTTTGGTATTTGTGTTTTCATATTCTTATAGCCATAAATTAATGCTTGTTGAAGTAAAAATGGACTCATCTTACGTTTAATAAGAGTGTAGAATGTGTTGGTTTTAAATCCTAAAGTTGAAGAGTATTTCTCTGGAAATTTTAATGCAATGCAATAGGACAAGTTACAGTACCAAGAGAAAAGTACTTACGAAATGGGATTATAGTTGAACATTTTTTTAAAAAATGGTCATTTTTGCTGAAGGAACTAATACGAGACCCCCAAAACACTGTGTATTTTCATCCCAAGATAACATGCTGTAATACTTTTTGTTTGGTAATGCTGCTTTTAAAATCTGGGATACCTTTGCTATATACCCATGTAACAATAAAATTGGTGAGTTTGCCTTTTCCTTGGAACACTACCTCTTACCATCTTGCTAATACATTCACGTTTGTTTAAAAATATTCCAGATTATATGGAAATGACTGAAAGACTTGTACAGAAGCCATATTTTTTTCCTGCACAGTGTGTAACTAGATTGAATCTAGTTGCGATGTATTTTTGTTTCGATATATTGTACACATGGGGATATTGCTACATATGTTCTATAGCCTATTTTTCAAAATGTATTAAGACAGGAGATGCACTTTATAATTAAGACTCCATTGTGCCAAGTTCAGTTGGCTAATTGGTTGAGAAAGGGGAGTTGCAGGGAGAGGATTATGTAGTGCCTTTTTGTATTTTACTTGTCCATTACTGCAGAATTTTGTTACAGTGCTCTGGGTCAGCTCTGTGGAATCTTTGATGCAGCTTGTTTCTGTTCTTCACTTATTTACTGAAAGTGCCTTGTTTTATTCTGCTTTTCCAATAGGAAGAATGCCATTTTGTTTTATTTTTTTTTTTCTTTGCCCTACACCACCCACATCGTTGTTTAATGTTGTCACTATGCAGTGTCTTTGTGCTGGAGTTTTCAAAGGGAGCTTTGTACTTCAGGCTGTGCGTACAATGACCTTTATGCAGAACTGTATAAACCTTCCTGGTGAAATAAAACTATGGACAAAACACCTGTCTTCTCTTTTCCATTGTAGGAAAAAAAAGTTCAATGCCTTGTCTAGTAAAAGGATTAAAATACTATTAGAAAGAGACATTTCTTACCTCAGTGATTTGCTACAGTTACTCAACTTTTGGTCTGAGTTCTGTTTGTACCAAAAATTGTCTGCCTGAAAATGAGTGAGTTCTGTAACGAGACCAGAAAATTTACTGTACTTCTGTTGAGGATTAAAATTTAAAAGTAACTTTTTTTTTTTTATATTCTACATGAATCCTCATAGATGTTAAGTGAACTCAATAAAGTTTTGACACCTTATTGAAAATTCATGTAATCTTTTGTCAGATGTCACATATTTCAGAAAAACTGTGTCTATTGAAATAGTGTTAAGTGTACAACTGTATTTTCAAAATCTTGAAAAGGTGCTTGTGTCGTACATGCTACAAATTTTTAAAGTATTTCAGGTAAATCTGCAACTCCAGTCACTAAAGAAAGCATTGATATAACTTACACTTCTGTCATGAGAGGGCAAAGGAATGGAAATTTTGTTGTGCTCTGTCTTCAAGGCTTATAAAATATTTCACTGACCCAAAATATATAATATCACATGAATAGACATTTTCGTTTAGGGAGACCTTCCTTTTTAATTAAACTAGTATGAAAACTGAATTTGTTCAGCCGCCATGTGGTATTGCTTGGCCTGTGACTGGTTACTGAACGGTTACCCGCTAAGGGTCACAGTGGCCTCAAACAGCCGCAGCCGGGTGCTTTCCAAGTCTGTCCCACACGGAATTTTTTTCTGGTGCACTTGCTTCCATTCTGGCACTGTTTTCCACCCGTTTCCTTCTCATTTCACTCACAGAAAAAGTTAACTTGCAATTATTTCATTCCTGAGAATTTGACAGTGGGATTCTGTCCTCTTCAGAGTGAGCAGAGGGGTGTTCAAACTGGCATCGTAGCAGAGTAAACTAACCACAGGAATCGCAACCATTTTGTTCTTTTCTGTTGCAGTTAAATCATTCCAAAGGTAATTGTCTTAATCGTTCAGCCACTGATTTACAATGGGGTTTTTTCCATCGTTTTAGAATTCAGTACATTGTACCCAGCTTAATCTTATAGGGGTTGCCTTTTTTTTTGTGCTACATCCTAAATTTAATAATCCTGCAAGATTTTTTTATCCTCCAAAGTACTTGTCTGCCCACGCCTCTTCCCTGCTTTTGATTTGTATACTCCTAAATCACTTAAAATGCTGACTAGTCTTGAACCAAGAATGAGTCCATATAAACCTCCCACTTCATACCTTTCCTGCTGTGACAACCATTAATTGCTGTGACAACCATTAATTACTGTGACTACAATAGTCCTGTTGAACCAGCTCAAGGAAGGGAGCAAATTCTTTAGGTGATGGAACTGCACCTGAGAGTTGCGGGAGTTGCCTACGCGGTGTGTTTTTGGTGGTCTGCTGTCCTCATCTCTGAAGCATCGCCGTTGCTCTGGGGAGTCATCGTTGCGGAAAAAGGGGACATGGAGTGCTGCTGCTCTGTCCCAAATTGGTTTTACTCTGTGCATCTCATTAGACCGCTAAGTAGTTTGATTTTTCTGTCTGCGGTTTCTATTCACTTGTTGAAACATAGCTACGGAGGAGTAGCAATTACCCTGCCAGAAATTTGCATTTCTGGTAGAACTGATAACAAATGCAACTTTCTGTAGGAAGTTTTATGTGGTTTTGTTTGTGGTTTGTTTTCCCCCTATGCTACAGCCAGCTCTAATACAGACTGGGGGAGGAATTCTGAAGTTACTGCTGCTGCAGTGTTCTTAAGAAATGTCAAATAACACAAGTAAATAGTCCGAGGTCATGAATTGGCAACGCAGGGGGAGACTCTCTTTTTATGGAATACCAGGTCTAGGGGTCTTCTTTCCTGTCATTCATTTCTGTATTTCAATTAAATCTTTAAATCAGTACATTCAGATTTCTGGACAGATCCAACATTCAGAACGAGGTATGTCCTTTTCTTATAAAATACAGGGCTTATAACCAAACTACATCCTCACATCCATGTATGTTTCTTTGAACTTGGAGAATTAATAACATAGCTGTCTCCTAAAGAGAAGTCTCTTGAACAGTTTGTGTTCTGGGTGAGCAGTCACTGGTGTGGACCAGTGTTCTACATTTTGATTTTTATCTTCTTCACATTTTTAATGCATAGGATCCTAACTCGAAGATGAGAGAAGGAGAGTGTGGAAAAGGCAGAGGAGAAGGAGGGGATTGCCTTGTCCATAGTTTACGCTTGAGGATTTTTTCCCCTTTGAAAGTGAAAATCAGTTCAATCATTTGCTAACCAGAAGCACTTCTCCACTAAATGTTAGTGTCTGTGTTGCGAGTGGTGTAGGTTCTGTGTCATCTTAACAGATGGTTCAGGAACCTCTTTTTCCAGGGTTTCTTCTTCCATAGCGCTGGCGTTTCTTTGTAATGGCTGCTGGTGCTACTAACCTGTACCCTCATCTTGTTTCAAAGGGCAGCAAAGGTTCTGTTCTTGGGCCTTCTCAGGTTGTGCATTGCAGGGCAAACCAGCTGAGTGAGGGCTTTTCTGAAATGTTTTCGATCTTCTTCCAAAGTTTGACTTCCTTTCTGTTTCAGATGCAACTGTACAGCTTTGGAAGAGTGGGAAGGTGACAAAATGCAGTCCTTTATTCCAAACAATAAAAGATTAATGTATTCTTATCTTGTAATAGATATAAATGACAAACTGAAGTCATCCTCTCTTATGAGTAATAATGACTGTTGGCCACATATATCCTGCTGTTGCTTTATAGATGATTCTCCAGTTGGATAGCTTGAGTGTTATACTGGAACAGGAGATGTTGCTCTTGTAATTTCTCCTTGGGCTGATGAATTCAGAACCATTCTGGTGGTTGTTCCAGGCAGGAAAAGGCTGCCATGAGATGTGTCTAAGCGTAACCCCACACATCACATACAAATCATCTTTTTTTCTGCTGGTGGGCACATTTTAGAGCACCAAACTGCAGTTTTATCCAGCATCATCAAAATAAAGTGATACTAGTATTGAAGGATCCTGGTTAACAAGGGTCAGTGTGAGTTACCTGGAGGCTGCCCGGAGCACAGGATGTGCACAGACAGGTGTTTCTGAAAGACGGGTGTTTTTCACTGTCATTTAGAGGTAAGAGGGAGCATAAAGGAGCTCTGCAAATGGCCAAAGTTACTGAGTCCTCAAGTGTAATTCTGTGTAGCTGGATAAATCAGAAAGCCTGATATATAAGCCATTCTTACTTCTTAACAGCTACTGAAAATTTTTGGCACAGAGTCTTTCTGCAACAGAACAGCACCTGACACTAAAAGGACAATCCAGGAAAGCAAATTACTGTGTTCCAGCTGAACTGGCAAAGCTTCTCTTTCTCTTTTTACACCTCTTTTAACTTCCAACTGACAGGCAGCAAAGCAGTCCACAACACATTTCTTGTGTGTAACCCAGGTCCTTGCCCTCTGCCTGTCCCTGTCTGTGTGACTTCTGCCTTTTCTGTCTCATCAAGGACATCACAGCATCATACTGGGTCCCAGCCCAGGCTGGATTTCTG